TGTTACACGTGTCGCCATTTCCTATCGTTGTCAAAAATCACCATTTAAAAAAAAAAACCCTCCAAATTTCCAGCAACGCCGTCCTGCTTTTCCATAATCTCAAGTAACCACCCACTCCCCCTCCATTTTCTCACGCAATTGACTTCATCCATACTGCTCCCATCATTCAATCCACCACCGTTAATTCACAACCACTGACTTACCGTGTCTGCAATGAGCAAAGAATGGAGTTTCTGGACCCTAGTATTAATTCTCAGTAACATGATTTTTTGTAGGTTGCTTCAATCAGTTTAGGGGTGGATTCTCTTGTATGGGTGGAGGATCCAGATGAGGCATAGATAGATGAGGGGATAGGAGGAAATTCCGGTGATTGAATAAACCATGTCCTTGTTTAGATTTGACAACAACGTGGTTTAGATCGAGACAACGTTTGTCCCAATACCTTTATAGCGAAATCCATTGTTGATGTTAATAGATTTTCACAGACAAAGAGAGTAGACACAGAGCAATGAATGCTTTAAGGAAGCAAGCCTTCAAACTCAGAGAACAAGTCGCCAAACAACAACAGGTTCCATTTCCTTTTTCATTTTTCTCTATAGATTTTAATTATGGGGGTAGATTGTCATATACAAAACCTAAAATTTGTTATGAATTTGCGAGTTTTTGAGTTATTCTTGATGTGGGTTGTGTGAATTGTAGGCTATAATCAAGCAATTCAGTGCGAGGGGCTATGAAAGCTCGGAGGTTATGGTTATTGATGAGATTGAGATGCAAACGCATCACCAATTGGAGAATTTGTACCGATCTACTCGCTCTCGAAGGGTAACTATTTTACAACTGATTGTTGAAGTTAATGATTCTTGTTCAAGCTTCCTTGTGATATGTTCATACAATCTTAATTTGGTCATAAGTCATACGAGCGTGGTGATAATTATTGATAAAAGTTAGTATTTCCCTTTCTTAAGAATCTGTCGTCGTTTCAGCTGACGAGCTCTATATTTCCTTATGCAGGATTTTCAGAAAGAACTTGTCAAAACAGCCGAAGCATTCAGTGATGTAGGGTATAAACATATAGAAGCCGGTGAGTATATGCAAATCTCATCATCTGATGTTAACTTGCACGAGTCTACAAGTTGTTGTCGGGAAATTAACTTCATAAAGTGCTCTCTCTTAGTGAAAAGGCCGCGCACGTAGACACAGCACAAGGCCATGTCTCCGACCGCGCACGGAGGCACGAGAACGTGTCTCCGTGCACGCGCACGGAGGTGTGCCGTGTCTCCGTGCGTGCGCACGGAGGCACGAGAACGGCTTCTCGCGGAGACACTGTCTCCGTGCACGGCATGGAGACACGGCCTTCTGTCACCCTGCCACATGCACAGAGACAATTTTTTTTAATTTTTTAACTATGAGATACATTTTTTAAAATTGTCCTAAAACAATTAGGTTGTGGAGAGAGAGAAAAAATAAGATGGATCAATTGAAGAAGGTGTGTAGAATTTTTTTTTTCTTTCTTTTTTT